TTCCTTCCCAATCTCCCATCTCACCCTGCCCTCTGGCAGTGGGAAGCCATTCCCTGTGTCCATTGTCCAAAGTCCTGTTCAGGGCCAGGAGTTGGACTCAGTGATCCCTGTGGATCCCTCCCAACTCAGGATATTCTGTGTTTCTGACATAATTAAAGCATTAATTCCCGGGGGAGGGAACAGGCCAAGGAGAAGGCATTTGGAATTTTCGTGTTCTTCACCAGCTCCTGTTTCTAGGTGGGGTTTTATGCCCAGTGTGGGACACCTGGGCAACCCCACAGGGGTTTGTGTCCTTTCCATTGCAAAGGTTTAATGTCTCAGATGTGTGTGTCAGCTCCTTAGAAAGCACTGAAGGAACTTGCATCCCAAGGTGGTCAAATCCTGTAAAATGACAATGGAAAAGTCAATGCCTTTGTGGTGTCTCTGGCTTAGGAGCTGGGGCTGTGGAGAACTTTGATTTGACTGGTGTTGAAACCACTGCTCCAAAGTTCTGAGGGTTCTGTCTCTTAAAACTGGTTTTTAAAAGGCTTCAGAAAACCTGATTTGAGGGAGGAGCAAAGGCTCAGAGTTACCCAGGTGAAAGTTTGGGGTGGCTCATGTTGCTCCATGTTCTGCCTGGAAAAGGGGTGTTTGCTCTACCCTTGGAAGTCTTATGGCACATGGAGGAGAGGATGTTCAGTGAGTGGACACTGGACATCAGGAATAACAAAACCTCATCTGCTGGGTGGGGTTGTTTTATATTTCATGCTGTGATTCCCCCTTTTGTATTTACATTTTATTTACATTTACATTTTACTGGCAGTAGAACCTTGGGAACTGCCCAGATTGTCCCAAAACATTGCAGGTGGAGTTGTCTGGCCCAGATTTTCTCTTTGTACCACTGGATGCTCTGAGGGTTCATTAGTACTTGGTTCCAGAAGGAGCTTGGGAAGTTATTGCAGAGAGCTCTGTGTGTGGGGGCAGAGTTAGGCTGTTCCTTTATTAGGAACTACAAATGAGCTTGGAGTTAATCTGTGTCTGCCACAGGAGGAGCTGGGGATGATCCACAGATAGGTGCTGGATTTTAAGCCTGAGGCTTGGAAAATGCTTGTGCTTGGTGCTTCTTCTGTGCAAACCCCATCCTTTACCCTCTTCCCAGCCTTACAGGGATCCCAAAATCTTCAAACCCTGCTCTACAACTGCTGAGATAACCTGGGGTGTTACTGAAGCACCTTCAGGCTTTCTTTCCCCCTCCCCCAAGTAAACACGTGGTTTTTGTCTTTCAGTACGTTCAGGCAGATGCTCCCACCAACAAAACACTGGCTGGGCTGGTGGTGCAGCTGCTGCAGTTCCAGGAAGATGCCTTTGGAAAACATGTCACCAATCCTGCCTTCACAAAGCTTCCTGTGAGTATCTCACCCTGCTGTTCTCCCTCTGCAGCCTGTGCTGCATCCAGGGCTTTGGGAGAGCCCTGCTCCAGCTGGGATTTAGCCCCTGGCAGGGCTGGAACAGCACACTCCTCCTTAAAAGCAGATTTTCGGTGTAATGCAGCTTATTCTCTATGTATTTGAAGTGATTCCTTAATGCTGCGAGAAGGTTTTAATTTCTACTAAAATTTGATATGATTCCTCAGTTCTAAGTCAAATCTGGACTGGTGCACCCTGAACTGAGGGAATAAAATGCACTTTCCAAAGCAAACAAGCTCCCCTTGGGCATTTCTGTTGATTAAACTTCAAATTTGTAACGGTGCCAAGGCTGAAAGATGACTTTCCCATGCTCTGGAGTATCATGTAATTGGTTACCTCAGATAGTTTTCCAGTCCCTGGGGATATTGGTACCTGGAAACAATATCAACAGACTGTAAGAGCTGTTTATTTAAAATTCCAGCTGGAGCCGTGCCCAGCACCAGAGGGACCTTTCCTGGGGAGTGTGAGGTGCAGAAGTGGCTGGAGGGAAGGGGGTGCAGCAGATGGAAGGACAGGGGATCTCAGGGAAGGGCAGGGATGGGCACGTGGTGCCAAGGGCCCAGCTGGCTGGTTTGGGGAGGCTGAGACAGCTGTCATACATGTGTGAGGGGTTGTGGCATCAGCAGGAGGGGCTGGTCTCTGAGGCCCTGGGGAGGGGACAGGGGGTGGTGGAGCATTTACAGCCAGTTCAGACACTGCCCTGGAGCTGTGCTGAACACTTCCCAATGCTCCTGTGTCCCTGCTCCACCCCCCATGGAATGCTGCCTGTTATTGTTCCGTGGGGGTTTCTCCCCCAGACCTTTTGCCCCTGTCACTCCCTCAGAGGGGGGGTCACTTGGGCGAGTTCTCCTCACAGGAGTTTTCAAACTCCCAGGGTGAATCTTGGGACAATTCTTGGATTCATTTCAGGAGGAATTCCTGGCTGTGAGGGGGGCAGGCCCTGGCACAGGTTGCCCAGAGAAGCTGTGGCTGCCCCTGGATCCCTGGAAGTGTCCAAGGCCGGGTTGGAGCAGCCTGGGCTGGTGGGAGGTGTCCCATGCCCATGACAGGGGTGGCACTGGATGGGCTTTAAGGCCCTTCCCACCCAACTCATCCTGGGATTCTCTGAGTATCCTGGTGCTTTGGAGAGCACCCAGGAGCACCACAAGGTGCCATTAAGATCTATCTCCCCATCCCTCCTGGAATATCTGATAGCTCAGTGATGATAAAAAGCTTCAGGGACAGAGGGGAACTTTGTGATGCTTTATTTTGGTGTGGCAGCATAAGCCATAAAACTGTCCCCGTTCAACAGGTGGATAAACCATCTGAGTGCTCACCAGCCTTAAATCACTGTGTCTTATCTTGAAAATGGGCAATAAAGATTGCAGTGGCATTGTAAAGATGCTGTTCCTGGGCTTGTTCTTGCTGTTACAAAGGGGTGATCTGGTCAAATTTGCTGAGCTCAAGTTTAGAGCAGTTGGATCTCTGTCCCCTCAGCTCCTTCCCACAGGAGACAACTCATCAGTGCACCTTCCTTTGGGTTTTTTCCTGGGAGATGCACTGTGTGCCCCCAGATGAGGTTGGCAGGGGCTTTTTTAGACGTTTAGTTTCAGGTGCTGGTCCAGGCTGGGAAGGAGCTGCTGTTACCCCAGCACAGCCCTCTGAAGGTGGGCAGAGCATCTGAGTTGTGCTGAGCAGGTCCCAGCCTGCTCCTGCTGCTGTTTGGGGCTCAGCTGTGGAATCCCTGGTGCCTGGTTGGGAATTAAGTGACTGCTGGAACTGGATTTGCTATTTTGGGGCAGCTCTGCCCAGTGACCTTTGCAGCTCTGTGTGGTGGAGGGACGTGACTGGAGCTCTGGGAGCTGCTGTGAACGTGAAATATCTGAACCTCTGCTCCAGGGGTTCATTTCTAATGACTTGGTTTGGTCTCCCTGGTGCAGATGATGCTTCACTGACAGCTCTGATTCTAGGTTTAATTTGCTATGAAATGGGTGTTCAAAGAGTAGCTTGGGTTTTTACAGCTCTACAAGGAATTTTTTTCAAGCTACTCCTATAAGAAAGGATGTGGAGCTTTCAGATACATCAAGTTCTGCTTGCAAATACAAAGAGTTCTGCTTCAACCAAATGCATTTAACCTTCATGAAACATTCTTAAAGGAGAACCTATAACTCCAAAAGGGATTAATCTGAAAATTACCTATTCATTTGCTAAGTTAGAGGTCTAAAACAACCAACAAGTGTGTATTTGTTTAAAATAATTGCACGTAAGTCACTACCTCTGTGATTTCCTGTGGTTTTTTTGGGTTCCAGGCAAAGTGCTTCATGGATTTCAAAGCTGGAGGTACATTATGTCACATTCTTGGTGCTGCTTACAAATATAAGAATGAACAGGGCTGGTAAGTTTTTTATTTGTGATTTATACACCTTTTGCATGAATCCAAGCACACGAACTGCTTATGCAAAGCACCCAACGTTTAATCCTTCCTGGAGACTCGGGGAGGCAGGGACTGGAGATGGGAAGAGGGAATGTTTTCCTGTGTTGCTGATGGTGGCTTTTTTTCAGACACACCCCCACACTTCTAAATTTAAAGATAATTGGCCAAGTTTAAGGTCTCGGGCCTGTAGTTGGAGTTAATGACGAGTTTGAGGCTCTTTTTTTGGCGTTTCCTCGCTGTGTGACTGAGAAAATGGACAGATGTGATGCCTCACATCTGTGAGATGTCCATCTTTGTTGCTGTATTGATTAGAGGGTTTAGTTATAACTGGGGGAACATGAAGACTCCAGTAAATGCTCAGTGTTCCATCACTTACCCATCTCCAGAAATGGGGAATGCAAGCCCTCAGAAGCTCTGCCCCTGCAGCTCTGGACACTGGTATCAAAATACCCCTGTGACATCCCAGGAGTGTTCTGTCCTGCATGTTTTTAAGTCAGAATCCTCTTTCCAAGAGAGCAGGATCATAAAACCATGGAATGGTTTGGGTTGAGAGGGACCTCAAAGCCCATGCAGTCCCACCCCCTTCCATAGACCAGGTGGCTCCAAGCCCTGTCCAACCTGCCCTTGGAATTACTATATCTGAGAACACTGAGGGGAAGAAATGAGGATGAGAAGTCAATAAATATAAACAAATCAGTAAAAGTAAGCAGAGATTGTGTTTTTGTGTGTGAATCTGATGTTTCTGATCTGTGACAGCATTCCTGGAATTGAGCCTGTGTTGCTGTTACACACAAGAGCCAATCAAAAGGCAAAATAAAGTTGGTTTAGGATGGCTGGTCGATTTTAGGGGTTGTTTATACTCATATCAGCTCTGTCTGAGGTGGGTGTATCAGGAATAAGCTCCTTTCAGGGATTTTCCTTCTCCAGTTTTGCCCCCCCCGGGCCATGGCCCCTGTTTGTCTGGGGTGTGCCAGTCTGTCTTGCTGCCCTCTTTGCCTCAAAACAAAGGCATTAAGTGGTTCCCGCTTCATGAATATCCAAATACTCCCATTTTTCACCGTGCAGGCCTAGTTTTCAGTCACAGAGGTTTGCCAGCAAAGCTCAGCCACGTGTTCCCTCCTCCCTCCTCCCTCCCTCGCTGCCCCCTCACAACTAGTGTGGGTAGTGCCTTGTGTCTGTGCATGTGGGACGTAGAGGGAAGTGAGCCTGGAACTTAACTCTCAGGATCAGAGCTAGAGCTTGGAATGTGTCCCTCACTGACTCAACCAAATAATGCGTGGTGTTTTTGCCTGAACTCTGATTTTGATTTGATTTTTGAACGGTCTGCATTGTCGCTCTTGCTTAACCTGTTTGTGAATGATCTGTCTTATAGGAGAAGTACCTTTCCTCGCCATAATAGGTATGTCTGCCAGCTGACATACCTTGTCCCTCACTGCAACCCAAGCTGTTTGCTAGAACCTGGCAGAGGGAATCACTTAAGCTGAGGACAGGAGGAATTGGTGCTATTTGATCCCAAGGGGCAGCTAAAAATGATGCTGTTAATTAATATATCAACACGCTTCTCTTAAAGGGGGGGTTTGAAAAGCAGGAATTTGGGGGCATGTGGAGCATTCTGTGAGTGCACAGTGCGGGTTTGGAGCAACAGATGTAAAAAATTTTTTGGTCAAACTTCCATGCCCTGAGTGGTTTTGTCTCACAGGTACCAAGAGTTCATTGGGTATTTGGGTCAGTTTGTGTTTATTTGTTTATTTCCCTTCATTTCCATGAAACCATTCTGTGTGTTTTGGATACAAACCGTGGCTGAATAACAGAGAAGTGGCTCGATCTTGCCTCTAAAATCCTTTATTAAGCTGTGTTGTGCAGTGACCTGACAGCCCTGATGTCTGGCCCTTCTTCTGCAAGTCACTGTGAGCTTCTCCACGTGCACAACGCTGCTTAAACCACTCATAAATTCCTCTGAAAAGGGGTGATTCTGACAAATCTGCCAGGATATTGTGTTCAACTTGCCATGCCCTTGGTGTGAAGGGAAGAGCCCCTGATTTAAGAGACAATCCATCCCTCCCTGCTGGTGGCTGTTCCTGCAGAACCCCCTGCCTGTCCCTCCTGGACAGCCCAGGGAGCCTCCAGGGGAGGAGAAGGTGGTGGGCTCAGCTGAAGGGTCTTTGTTTAGTGTAGTGGTGTGTCCTTGCTGTGCTGCCCTCCTGCTAACGGGGTTTGGGGCTGAAAACTTGCTTTCCTGTACCTGCACTGAGTGTTTATCAACCTGAAAATGGATCTGTTACTGGAAACAGGGATGTGTTTGTAAGGAACTGTCAGTAGATGTGGGATAAATGTGTGCTCTAGGCTGGGGTGGGCACTTGGAGCCTGGCAGTCCCTGCCTGGGGGGGTGTGCACGGCTGTTTCACCATGTTACATGTGCCCAGGGGATTTTATTTCACCCTAAGGTCCCTTCTGACACCACCTCAGCACCCAGGTGGCGTTTGCAGGCTCCAACAACAGCTTTTCCCAAACCCTGGGAGGTGCAGCAGGTCATGTTTTACGTCTCAGAGTCACCAGGCTGGTGATCTGAAGTGATCCTGGTGCTTTGGGAAAGGCTGGGTTGTGAAGGGTCAGCCCCAGGTCTGTGCTAAGCCCTGGTGGTGCTGAGCCCCCTTGGGAGTGCTGAACATGGTGAGGGTGCTGGGGTTGTCCCACCTCTCATGTTTTTGGAAGTCTCCACTCAAATCCTTCCTTTGAGTCCATCCATCCGTGGATTCCAAACGTGTGCACGGTCCAGGTGGGTACAGCAGGATGGATCTGGGGGGTCCTGTGGTGCTTCCCAGTAGGAAGCCTCAGATTTTGTGTTATCCCCCCCTTTCTCATGGACAAACCTCCATTGTTACTGCAGCAGTTTTGACTATTTGTCTGTGCAATAACAAAGTTTGAAGTCCCAGAGTCCAACAAAAGCGATGAGAAAATGCTCCCATGGATTATCAGCTCCCTGTGCTCTGGGGGGGTGGTTTGTTCTCACATCAGGCAGAGGAGCTGCTGCTTTTCCTGCATTCCCAGGACAGGTGGATGGGTGCAGCTGGAAGTAAGAGAAACATGAGAGCTCCTCCATGACTGTTCTCACGTAGCTGTCGGAATCCATCGTGATCCCGTGTGTCCAGGGATCCCCTGTGGCTGTGCTGGAATGCACAACCCTGCTCCAGGGCTTTGTTGGACAATGTCAACCTGCCTTCCCCCCCCCAGACATTTCACAAATCAGCTGCATTTTGTTGATTTGGTTCCTTGTGGTTTTTCTGGCTCGTGAGGGGCTGCCCAGTGAAGCAGAGATGGGTGTGGTTGTGCTTTGAGTGTCCTCACGTCGCTCCACCAGCCACTGTTTGTGTGGAACGGGAAGGATTCTTGGCTGCTGGAGGGGGGGGAGTGGAACTCAACATTTTTGAATGCTTTCCCTTCCCAGGAGGAGGTTTGACCTGCAGAATCCCTCGCGGATGGATCGGAACGTGGAGATGTTCATGACCATTGAGAAAACACTAGTGCAGGCAAGGAGCTCCCACCCACAGCCCACAGGCTCAGGGCAGGCTCTCCCTGGGTCCTTATGTGCCCCACGACCCAGGGAGGGGTTTCATCCTGGACTTCTGCAGGAATATTGGGCTCTTCTCTCCCTCTCCCACCCATTTCAGTCACAATTCCATGTTGTCACTTGGAAAGTTCAGGGTATTTTCATCTGTACTCTGGATATGCAGAGGGTGAGGGAAACCTGTTGTGAGGTGGGAGAAAACATCCTGAGTGTCCCCATGTCCCACCCTTGGGGCTGAGGAGCTGGTTCTGTACACACCCATTCCATGGCTCACTCCTGAGACTTTTAGTTTGATCTAAATTTGACTGTTCTCAGGTTAGGAAACATTTGAGAGTCTCACTTTATCAAGTGAGTTATTATCTATATCCATTAAGCAACTCTGTGGAGGCTTATTTGAAGTTAAATTTTTTTAACTCCCGCATGTGAATAATATATTACTTTTTTTCAAACTCTAAAACCAAGCTCAGTGTATAATAGAGTCAAAACATGACTGTCAGGAGCTTGTCAGGAGTGGAGATAGGAGGAAGGGACAGCAAAAAGCCACAGTACTCTCACTATGAAAACCTCTTGCTGTTGTTGGGGTGGTTTCAGGGCATAACAGAGTGAAAATGAAAATTGCAGGTTTGATTAGTGAGCCCCTCAGTGCTGTGGCAGTGAGTGACTGTGCATGGCAGTGCTGCAGGGCAGATCCCAGACTGGAAGCTGACACTGGGAGACTCAAATTCCCTTTGAAGCAAAGTCTCCCCCAGGCTGTCAGGAATTCCTTGCCATCAAAGCCGTGGTTTGTGTTCAGGGTGTTGTGGAGCAGGAGGGGGAACAGCCCCGTGGGGTGAAGGTGTGGCAGAGCTCACAGCACATCCAGACAGAAACCCTGGGAGGGCTCTGCTGGGGAGGTGTGTGAAGGGAGTGCTGGGGGTTCTGGAGCTGGAATTGGTGAGCTGTGTCACCACCTGACCCGTGCTCCTTTGGAGCTTCAAGCCTTGGGGATTTTAGTAGGAATGTTATGATTTTTGTCACAAATCACCTCCTAATTCCTCATTTGACATGCTGTTCTGTCCCCCAGAACAACTGTCTGAGCAGACCAACCATCTACCTCATTCCTGACATTGAGCTGAAGCTGGCAAACAAACTGAAGGACATTGTCAAGCGGCACCAGGTGAGTGTGGGGCAGCAGATCCTCAACCAGGGCTTCCAGGTAAAACATCTCTGCCCACCCTGAGCCCAGGAGTTCCATCTGGAGTGTGCCTGATGGCACGAGGCAGCAGCACCAGGTCACCTGTACAAACCCACCTCTGCTCTGAAAGTGCACCTGGACCTGCTGCTGGAGTGAAAGGTGCTTCTGGGTGAGGTGGGTGCAGCCCCAGCTGATTTATTGTTCAGTTCTTGTGCAGAGAGAGCAGGAGCTGGGCCAGAGCTGAGCCTGGAGAAGGCAGTGTGTGATACAGCTGTTCCACACAGGTGGGCACAGCAGGAGGAACCTGGAAATCACTGTGATTTTTTGCTTTATTTCACTTCTTTGTTGCCTGTGCTGAACAGGTGGGCAGTGTATTTCTGAGAGCCAACGTGCTGCCATTGTAATTTAATATACTAAATAATGATCTGAACAAGATTAATGACTTCATCTCTTGAAAATGTAAACGGTATTTTCACTTGTCTTGAGAGAAATACCTGGAATGTGACCTCTGGATGGTCTGGTGGCCTTCTGTGTCAGGATCATGCAGAGCTGCAGCCCAATGGTTTCTTTCCCAGATTAAATGTATTTCCTGTGTTATGATTATGAACCATCACATCAGCTTCAGTTGGGTGGTTTTTCACAAGTTACTTGTAACTATTTGGCTCATTTGGAATGTTATCTATTGCTTAAATTAAAGCTAATGAGTCAGTTTTCCTTTCATAAAGGAATTCTTTCCCAAAGGAGTTCTGTGGTGAGCTCAAGGCTTGCTGTATCCAGGAGTGATTTAAGGGATTTTTAAAGCAGGCAGCTTTGTGTCTAAAGGGGTGTGAAGAGCAGAAGACAGAAATTGCCCCTGGTTGTGCTTTTTGGGCTTTTTTTCCTTTGCTCTGCCTCTGAATTCTCATCTTGTTGCCAGCTTTGCTTCTCACTGTCTTGATTATTTTCATTTATTTAACCCATTGCTGTCATGTCTCCTGTATTCCACCCCCAGTACCTGTGGCTCCCTCCTCCTGCCATCCCAAGTCCTTGTTGCAGCCCGTGCAGAGGAATTCCATGTCCCTTGTCCCAGCACAGAGCCCTGGGATCTCTGGGATTCCAGGGAGAGGTTTGTCCTCTGTGCTGCTGCAGATGCTGTTCCTGTCCCTGGTTCTGTGGGATGTGGGTAGGAAGCAGCAGCCGAGGAGTTTGGGGTGATGTGGTCAGGGGTTCTCATGGGGTTTCTTTCTTCCCCCAGGGAACAGTAACTGAAGAGAAATCCAAGGCCACCCACCACGTTTATCCCAGTCCTACCTCAATGGATGATGGTAAAGGCCCTTCCCAGTTTGGCAGTGGGAATGTCTCGTGACTGAATTCCATGAGCAGTGGGGTGTTCTCACAGACTCAGGGTGTGCCCAGCCTGCTCCTGAGAGCCACCCACCAGCTCGTGGAGAATGCTGGGCCAGGGGAGGGGCAGGTTGGACATTGGGAAAATTCCTCCTGGAAAGGGCTGTCCAGCCACAGGGCAGGGGTGGAATCTCCAGCCCTGGAGGGATTTCAGAGCCCTGTGGATGTGGCACTTGGGGACATGGGCAGGGGATGGTTGGACTCCATGGTCTCAGGGGGCTTTTCCAACCCCAGCAATTCCATGCCTGTGTGTTCCTGTCTGTCCAGGAATTCTTTTGGGAATGCTGATGCACATCACTGTGTGTGGTTGGCAGAGAGGCCGCAGTAAGGAGGCAAGCTGGTGGATGGTTGTTGGCTGTAATACAGTTCACTCTGCCTCTGTTGGAGGTACTTAAGGTCCAAAAAACCCCATAATTTAACAGCTGCATCCTTCAGCAAACAGAAAAAAATTGCTCTCATTTTTTAAATCTTGACTCCATTTAGTTGCCTGTTGGATTGTTGTTGTAGAGTCTGAGTTTCACAGCCATAAACCCCCTTTTTCCATCCTCCCTGGCCTGTGCTGGCCACTAGATGGAAGTGTCCCTGCTGTTTGCAGGGACTGTGTTCCTCTGGAGCTGCTCTGTGCTGGCAGCTCCCTGCCCAGCCACGGGTTTGTGTTTATCTTTAACCACTTCAGGTTCATGGAGTCAGAAATATCCAGAGCATGGAAAAGTGAAATAATGTGCTGTTAATCCAAATGTGACCCGGATCTCTTTCCTTGGCAGATGAATGGTTGAGACCTGTGATGAAAAAAGACAAGCAGGTGCTGGTACACTGGGGCTTCTTCCCAGACAGGTAAGGGAAGGTGGGGCAAGAAAGCAGAGTCCAAGTCTTAATTCAGTTTGTTGAAGGCAAAGTCCTGATCTCAACGTCCAAAGATTGAAAATAACCACTGATTTACAACTGAAATGTGCACATCCAGTGGTGGCACTGGCAGGTGGGGGTGGAAAGGAGAGGGGTTTTCTGCAAAGCCACAAGTAGCTGGTTGCAAATCGATCCAAATTTCAAAGGGTGGAATGAGCCTTTCCTCTCAGCTTCAAGGGAGAGCTTCTGGTTGAGCTCTGGCAAAGAGGTTTCACTCCATGGGTTGCCTTCAGCCAGGTGCAAGTGGCTGTTAAAGCTTCCACTGGAGAGAGCTGGTGTTGTTGGGAGGTGTTAAAATACAGTGGATGTGCTGTTGAGACCTTCAGTGTATTTGCAAGAACTGCTTGTGGAAGATGAATCAAAAGATTGATAACCCAACATCGACCTCAATTCAAATAACCTTTTCAGGCTACCAAAATCTGCTGTGCACACACAGAATTCCCAGGAACCATATTTCCCATGAGTGTTTCAGTGGAAGGGAACAAACAACAGTCACACTGAAGTTTCTTTCTTCATACAGATGAAGAACCTTTAGATGTTTCTGTGTCAGTGGTCGATTTTGTGTTGGTTCTGTGTGTGTGTGTTTATAAATGCAGGTATAAACACGAGGAGTTCTGCACATCTTGCCATGCACGTGACTTGCCCCAGTTCCTCATTAGGTGCCTGGTGTTGATTACAAAGTGTTTTGGCTTTTGCTCAGTGCAGCAATAGTAAATAGACTTTGGAGGGAACAGCGTGTGGAGAAATGAGGGAATAGCATGGGGAACAGTGAATGTCAATAATAAATGGTTTCCAGAAGGAGAGGGTGCAGACTCCTTCCTTCCAGGAATCCAGCAGCTCTTGCTTTAAACTCCTAAGAACAGAACAAAGTGAGTTAAGTTAATTCCAGGGTTTGATCAGGGCCTCAGAACTGCCTTAGCACACCTGGATCTCTCCAGAGTTACAGTTTTAACCTGGTCCACGGGCATGGTTTTGGAATTCTGGTGTGCACAAGATGCCTTGGCTCCCTCCCTCTGCCCTGTGTCCTGTTCCTGTGGCAGCAGGGATTGTTCCCTGTGGAGAACACTCTGCTGTCCCAGCCCTGGGATCTGACATGTCCCATTGCTGGCTCCCCACTGCCTGCTGCTGGTCCCTGGGGACGAGCAGCCCAGGCACCAAAGGCTGTTCTCTCTCCCCTCTCTCCTCAGCTACGACACCTGGGTTCATGCCAACGAAATAGATGCTGAGATTGAGGACCCTCCAATTCCTGAGAAGCCATGGAAGGTGGGTGTTCCTCAACAGCTCCCAGAATTCCTGGTTTTATTCTGTTATTTGCCTTACACAGAGTTCTGGGTGTGCTGCTCATCCCCACAGAGTTAGAGCAACTCAGGCCTGAAAATAACTTGGGGTCTGTTCAAACACCACTTACTCCAAGTAGTAATTGGTAACTAACTGGAAAACACTCTTTTTGAGTATAAATCTGCCATGAATAGTAAGATATAATTGTGTAAGATATTAATAAATCAAAAATAAATTGTATCAATTACTCTGAAGCTCAAGAAGTTTTTTAGTTCTTAAGCTAAACTTTATTTGAAGATGGATATTTTAAATCAAGATATGGCCAATTCTCCTTACTTTTATTGATGTTTGTGGCACATCTGCTCAGGTGATCTGTGTATTTAGGAGATTTTGATGGTAATTTTCAGCATCCAGAGCTGCTGTCCCAGCTCTGAGAACTGCCCTCACATTTCAGGAGGCTTAAGAATGGTTGAGGAGCAGAGATTGTGTCCTGGGCTTGGTCGTGTTGTCCTGCCTCATGAAATTCTCATGACTGTGTGTAAAACCACTAGGAGACAATTTGGGTGTTCAGACCCTCATGAAGCTCCAAGAATGTCCTTAATCCTGCAGGGAAAGGTCTGCCATGAAGTGCTTTGTTTACAGAGCATCTGCATGTCCCTGTCTTCTGTTGCTCAGGTCCATGCCAAGTGGATTTTGGACACAGACGTGTTCAACGAGTGGATGAATGAGGAGGATTATGAGGTGGATGAGAACAGGAAATCCGTGAGCTTCCGCCAGAGAATCTCCATGAAAAATGAAGAGGTGGGTGGTCCTCTGTTGAGGAGCTGTGCATCCAACTGTGCATCCACTGGTGTTCTTTATCCCTGCATGGATGGAGCTGGGGGGTTCACTGGAGAAGAGGAGGCTCCAGGGAGACCTGAGAGCCCCTGGCAGGGCCTAAAGGGGCTCCAGGAGAGCTGGAGAGGGACTGGAGTCTCTCCTGGTGTGTGTTGGGATGTCACTGCTTTTAGCCCCTGCTGTGGGCTGGGTTAAGGAGGGGTTTAACCTGCAGCACAGCAGTGACTGATCTGTGGGATGAACTCACTGCTCCCCTTCTCCACAGCCCGTGCGGAGTCCTGAGAGGAGGGACAGGAAAGCAGCTGCCAGCACAAGGAAGAGAAAACATTCCCCTTCTCCACCCCCCACCCCTGTGGAGTCCAGGAAAAAGACAGGCAAGAAAGGGTGAGTGTGTGAGCCCTGGAGCTGGAGAGGAGCTTCCCAGAACCGCTCCTGGGGAGATCCTGGCACCTTCCAGCTCTCACCCGAGGGCACCCTCCTTGTTTCCACAGTGGAACCAGGTGGTTTTCCCTGTGCATTGGGTGTGATTCCCTCACTCCTCTGCAGGGGGGGAGGACCTGGGGCAGGTTGTCCTTTGCCTGTGTCAGGGACAGGGTTTCATGGCAGCTCAAGAGTGGAAATTAAAGGAAAAGTTGCTCAGCTGCTTCCAAACTAACCCACTCTGGCTGTGTTGGGGCACTCTGGGGTGCGTGCACAGTTCTTGAGTTCAGCCCCAGGAATTCCTGCATTTAATTAAGGAGATTTTTATTGATATAGTCAAGTACTTTGAAGTCCACTTCTCACATGTAAACCTTAAGAGAGACATTTGTGGCTTAAAGATTAGGGGGGTTATCAGTGGTTTAGTTTGATCTCTTAAAAGGAAGAAAATCCCATATTCTACCCAAATAAAAGCTTATTTGTGGGGCTTTATGTGTGGATATGGAGGGGAGCAATTCTGAGCTAAAAATGCAGGTCTTGTTCATAGACCTGCTGGGCTCTAATAAGACAAAGCTGGAAATTTATCATCCAAGAAAGAATGAGTGGATAACCTGAATTACTTCTCGTTCCAGTGTAAATCCTGAGTTAGGTCCTGCAGGGAGAGGTGTGGGTGGTTCTGCCTTGGTTCCCACGGGGATTTCAGAAGGGTTTTAACCCATCCTTTAATCCTGGTGTGTGAGCAATGTCCAGGTGAGAACATCTGGCAGAGAACCTGTGTCTGCTCTGTTCCAGGCAAGCAGCTCTGTATGGGAAAAGGAGGGGGCAGAAAGAAGAGGATGAACAGGAAGATCTTACCAAGGACATGGAGGATCCCACACCAGTCCCCAACATAGAAGAAGTGGTACTTCCCAAAAATGGTAAAATATGCAAACACTGGATTCTTTGAATGTTAAAACGTGGCTTAAACTGCATGAAAAATACACATATATTTTGTCAAATCTTTGAAATACTTTGTGACCATGGGGCCAGGTGATCTGATCCCATCCAAATTTGTCTAGTCTGGGATGTGACAGCTGGGAAGGGCAGCAGAGTCACCTTCCTTTGGCCTTCTAAAGTACGAAAATACATTTACAAAATACACTTTTTAAAATACATTTACAAAAATCTACTTAAACATTTCATTTCACTCTTTTTGGATTTGTTGGTGTTTGGGGGGGCGTGTGGAGTTTTCTGGAGCAAAAATAATTCTCTGCCAAGTCCCCAAGAGAAGGATGTTAAATAAGTGGAAACTCTGCAACGTGTCAAGTGCTTTGAGCTGTTAATCCTTCCCAGGGAAGGGTTGATCTGGACAATACCTGATCTGGGCAAGGCCTGGTAAATGAAGATAAACTGGAAAAATAATTCCTTCTGCAGTCCTTGGCACCAGGGCGTTTTGGGAGTGGCTCTATTTGGGTTTTCCTTGGTGTGAACTGGGTGTTGAACAGGTGGCAAAATGCAGGGTTAGCCCCTGGATAGAAGGGGTTTGTGTCCAGCTGGGAATTCAGGGCAGTCAGAGGGGCCCTTGTGCTCCAGCTCACACATGAAGGGTTTGGGCTGCAGGGACTCGGCCAGCAGAGTGTCTGTGGGTGGGACAGGGAGATCTGCTGGGTGGGATCCTTTCTCCTCCTGCTGGGCTCTATCCTGTCTCCTCCTGCTGTGCTCTCACCAGGTGGTTTTGCCTCTGCAGTGAACCCCAAGAAGGACAGTGAGAACACGCCGGTGAAGGGAGGCACCGTGGCAGACCTGGGTAAAGCCCCTCAGCACCCCGAGTGCCCCAGCCCTGCTGGGAGCCCAGCACAGCCCAGGCTCAAGTCTCTCCATTTTCAAAGCAGTCTATAATTCTACTGTTCTGTTGAATTAATTCAGTTTCCATGTGTATTCTGGTCAAAGTGTGTCAACTCTTTTTTTCACTTGCAGGGCTCTTCCTTCACAGACTGTTCTTACTCTTATTTTTTATTATGACATATAAGCTCTTTTCTAGCTCTTTTCCTTGTCTTTACTGGGACTCAAGGTGAACCACAGGTTCCCTGAGCTTTGCTAAGCCTTGACATAAGAGATCCACAGTGGTGTCCCATATGCTGTAACACAGGGCTCATCTGGGGCACTGGGAAGGGTGGTAATTAAATAGGGATTCTGGAGTGAGGGGAAATCAGCATTGTCCTTCCTCTGTATTCTTACTGTTCCCTGGGCTGGGAGGGGTGGGTGAGATGTCATTGCTTTAGTGATGGGTGATCCACTTTCCTTCCCTCCTCACTTCCCATCCAAAAGAAATTAAATGTTCTTTCCAACTAAACTTTTGTGTTGCTGGGGAGGCTCCTGAGCACTCAGATGGTTTTTATTGGTGTAATGCTGAATGGTTTTACCTTTCAGATGAACAGGACGAGGAGACAGTGGCCACTGGAGGAAAGGTAACAGCAGCTCTTTGTTGTGAACTTCACAGGAACTGAGATCAGAGTCCCAGCCTGGTTTGGGTGGGAAAGGACCTCAAAGCCCATCCAGTGCCACCCCTGCCATGGGCAGGGACACCTTCCACCAGCCCAGGTTGCTCCAAACCCCATCCAACCTGGCCTTGGACACTCCCAGGGATCCAGGGGCAGCCACAGCTTCTCTGGGCAACCTGTGCCAGGGCCTCCCCACCCTCCCAGCCAGGAATTCCTGCCCAATATCCCATCTAACCCTGCCCTCTGGCAGTGGGAAGCCATTCCCCCTTGGCCTGTCAAGGTCTTAATGTCACCTTCAGTAACTGATGATTATCAAGTGATCTGTAAGAGTAAATTAGTTACTGATAGGAATGTTTCTGTTATTATAAAAATTCTTGAAATTATGTGGGGTTACTTTGTATTTTTAAATCTGGTTGTGGGATTACTTTGTCATTTTAAATCTAGTCTATTAAAAAGGACAATGAGGAGACAGATGCCAAGTATTTTTGGAGAAGCATTTTTCAGACCAGAGGCTTTTCAAAGCTTTTGCTTTTTCTTTTAGGTTTTAGGACTAAATCTAACCCTAGGTTGGGCTCTTAATAGAGTTGCAGGAGTAGTTTCTGTACTGAATTGCATTTGTGGCACTCTTGTACCCTCGCTGTTGTCAGGTCACTGGGTTTGTTTAGAGTGCTACCTTGTTGTCTTTGGGGGAATTTAATCCCAGATAAAGGTCTGTTATTGATACCAGGGACTCTTTGGGGTCTTGCTTCAGGGACTGGGTTATTTTTAATGTTGAGTTACCCACGTGCTCTTCAAACAACCCCTGAGGGGTTTTGTACATGCAGTGTCATGGCCTGATCCTCTTTTTATACTTCTGTGCCCTTCTCTCGATCATTTTGGGGCAGGAATTGAACGTTTGCTGGGACTCAAGTGGTAGAACCTCAGGTGTTCACAGGAGGCCTCTGTTGTGAAGCAACAGAGTGACCAAAGACTTGTCCTCCTCTTGGGAGTGTCAGAGAGTCTGTACAGCACTGGAAAGCTCTTGTTTTGGACCAGCTCTGCTGTCCCAGAGCTGCTGGGGTGTCTCTGGCAAGCCCTGACCGTGGTGTTCCCCCCTGCTGCAGGAAGATGAAGATCCCAACAAGGGTGACCAGAGTCGCTCCATCGATCCGGGGGAGGACAATGTCACAGAGCAGACCAACCACATCATCATCCCCAGCTATGCATCCTGGTTTGACTACAACTGGTAAGAGGGGAGCTGGGGGGGAACTTCAGGCTTTGGGTGGTTGGTTTTTTTCATAAATTAAGCCAAGAGTTGAAGGAAACGACTGTTGGTTAGGTCTGGTTCCCATGTCTGGGGGCAGCTTTTCCATCTGAAAACCTTCCTGAGCTGACTTCTGGCTGTTTTCAGGGACTGGGAATGAGGAAGAGGATTTCAAACAGCAGAGACCCTCAGTCTGCCTTCTCAGCAGTTCTTGCTTTACTCTGATTTCCCCCCCAGTGTGGAAGATAATTCCTTTCTCTTCCCTGCTTGTCTAGTCCTTGTGTGATCTGTGTTTGTATCTCCTTCTGAAAGCCAGTGCCTTTTGATTTGGCTTCAGAACTTGCCTTTGAGGATAAATCATTGGCTGTACAGGGAGGACACTTGTTTCACCTTGGAATCCTCCTTGGACTCAGGGATTTGGGGGGGTGGTGCCCACACAACCCTGGTGTTCTCTGTACTCAAACCTTGCTGGTGTGGGAGGAGCAGTGAGTGATGGGGAAAGGAAGTCCCTCTGGAAGTTGAACTCCTAGGGAGCACTTTTTGAAACAAGAAGTGCTTTGGAAGCACAGCAAGGAATAGTCACTTGTCTGGAAGGCTCTCCTTGAGCACCCACTTTGTCTTGGCTCTGGGAGTTCAGGCTGGAATCTGAAAAGATGAGCTGTGACTGGAGTGTTGGGATTCATGTGCAACTTCCAAAGTGAGTGACTTGTCACAGCAGCAGATTCAGGTGGGCTGGGAACTGTTGGTGGAGGGGTTGGATCGATTCCCAGCTCGGGCAGACTCCGTTCCCTTGGGTCAGTGGCCTGAACAGAACCAGCCAAAATCAAATTTCCAGAGGACTGGGGTTTCTAAAAAGTAATGATCACAAATAACCCTTGTTGTGACTGTTCTTTGGGGGCGAGCAGGGCCCTGCAGGGTTGTTGTGTTTGCCATCTAACAGGGGGTTCTGGTTGCAGCATCCACGTGATCGAACGTCGGGCGCTTCCCGAGTTCTTCAACGGGAAAAACAAGTCCAAGACTCCAGAGATGTGAGTAAAGCCTGTGAATGTGGATGGTAGGAGTGTGGCACGATAAAGGAGCTTCCCATTCCATGAATCCTGGGGATACTCCAGCTGGGGGGGGTGTTAAGCTGGTGTTTTCTGCAGAGCATGAAAGGAAGAGCCACTGATTAATGTCTGGACAGTATTGGAGCAGAGGTAAAAGCTTAAATATCAAAGAAATAATTAACAGTGGTTATCCAGGAAAAATAAAACTGATTTCTCCCAAGTAACACTGAACAAATTCTTGAACCTCGTGGTACAAAATGTGATCACCTTCCAAAGCCATCTAAAAATGTCATGGTAGGGTAGAAACTGAGTAATCCTCCTGGATTCCCCCTCTCCCCTCCTGCCACGCCGTGGTTCTGAGGCTCAGGAGTTGTGTGTGTAGGCACTGAGTGTGTTTTGGATGCTGTGTCAGGCCGTGGAGTGGATTTTCCACAGTTTTCTGTGGTGATTTCACAGTTCCCTGAGCAGCTGGTGGGTAATTGTGAAGTGCAGGTGAGGGTCAGGAAATGAATCTTCACAGGCCTTGGATGTGACTGCTCTCAAATGTCAGAGTCTGGTTTCAGTCACAGAGTTCTGCATTGCAAGAAGGAAGGTATTTTTTTTGTCTCCAGCTGTTCCAAAGCCTCTGGTGACACCTCAGTTCTGGCCATGCCTGTTCAATCCAGGTGGATTTAGATCCAGTTTGTACCTGCCTCATCTCCTTGTGGGATCTGGTTACTGCAGAACTTGAGTGGTCTTAATTCAGAATTATCCACACAGGGCTGTTTAAACAGCTTCAACATCTCCCTGGAGCTGTTTAAAATAATAATTAAAATAAAGCTGATTACTGTGAGGTATTGCAGGTTTTGTCACACATCAGATGATTAAATTCTGCTGGTAACAAGATCAGCTGCTGATTTTGCCTCAAATGCTTGAGAATCCTCTGCAAAGGTTGTTCTGTGCATTAGGAAAGTTCACCTCCCCTTCTCTGAAAATGTTCTGTTCTAACAGTAAATTTCGTTATTCAGAGCTCTTGAAAGGGGATCTGTAAAGGAAGATGGGCAGTGTCAGACTTGTGAACACTGTGCTTGTTTCTGTTTAAATGATCCTAGAACCTGAGATTTCACACCAAAAAATCATGAATTTCTGCCCCAGTGTGTGCTGGCCCCCTTGGCCAGTGGAACTGGGCAGGCTGTGTTCACTTGATCTTGGTATCAAATCCTGGCCAGCTGCAGAGCAGCTCTGGGGGATTTTAAAAGGTTTTTCAATCAACTACTGAATGAAATGTTTGAGGTGTCTCATTGTCTGAGTGTCAGCTGAGCCCTGGATTTTTCATACACAGCATTTCATACAATTCTGGAGTGGTTTGGGTGGGAAGGACCTCAAAGCCCATCCAGT